CCCCAAAACCCCAAAACCCCAAAACCCCAAAACCCCAAAACCCCATTTCGAGCTACAAACATTGAAATTAACTATTGGATAATGCTCTTAAGCTTGCTTAGGTGATCTTTCATCTTCTGAATCAGCTCAATCTGTTGTCTAGTCTCTCTAACATCTTCGTTCTCTTCAATTGCAGGAATTAAATCTCAATACTGCAATGCTTCAATGATTATTGCTGTAAAAGAATCAAAGAGAGGAAGATCTGAAATTTCTGAATCAACAAAGCTATCATCTAGGAATTCTCCAAGTAAGCCTTTTACTTGAGAGATAACATCTTCTGAAAATTTGAAATGAAGGATAGGGTCTAGTGCATCTTCAATATCGTCTCTGTTCTCATAAAGGAATCTGTGGGTCTGTCTCATAAACAAGTTGTCGTGCCTACTGCTATATTTCTTTGCCATAAAGCTAAAGTACATTTTCATAATCACAATGTCCTTCTTTTTCAGAGCATAATTTGATAGAGTTTCCATCAGAGGACCAATATCTGTCTGAATAGATTCGCAGAATCTTTCATGACATGCATCTGTCAGAGAGAAGATTGTCTTTTTCTTCTGGATCTTAGATGTTGACCCTCTTGTAGATTTTACCTCAGCTTGTGACAAGTTTTGTAATGAATAGGAAGCAGACATCTCTGCTCTTTCGTTTAGAGCATTAAGAACCTCTTCATTGATTTCAAGCTGGAAATCTAAAAAGGTTGTTCAGACCTTCTTATTGACAAATATAAATGTTGGAAGTCTTTCTCCGACGAATGCTCAGATTAAGTCATAGCACATCCCATCTAGAGTGTCAAACCCTGGTTTGACACCATCTCCTGCCAGAGATGGAAGAGAGAAGTTGGACATATTTTGGTTATCAACACTGTATTTAATAGAGCTTGCATCATTGAATAACATATTTGGATGACTAAGCAATGAGACAATCTCATGATGTCCTTTGGAACTATCTTCTTTAATAGCAGATTCGTCTCTTGATTTATTTGAGTCTGGAGTGAGGATTTGGTGACCTGACATATCAGGTGATACCAAAGGCTTTATCTGTTTCCCTTGCTTTATTTCTATTTCTTTACTAACTCGATTCATCTTCTTTGATTTCCTTTGAGCTACCTTATCTTTTGGCTTCTTATTAACCTTGGTCTTTTGAATGCTCTTCTTTGGAGAACTATTTCCAGAAATGTTAAGGTGCATTTTCTCTCCAAAATCTCTTTTGGTGTCGCTGTCATTTACTTGACCAATCTGTTCTCATTTCTCAATAGTTGAAAGCTTCGATGCGGGATCTTGGAAAGCAGGTGTATTAGCATGACCCTTTAGAGATTTCTCATGAGAGTCGTCTGGATGCTGTACATTTTTGAAAGATCCCTTTAAGCTATGAGTTTTTGTACTCTTAAACTCCATTGCTCCAGCATAGTCCTCCTCAAGATGATGTGAAGGTATCTTCTCTGCATTTGGTATATCAGAAATATGATCTGTATAGGATACAATATCTTTTTCTTGATCTATCTGGTCAATATCAAATTTCTTGATCTCTTCCGTTTTTCTATGAGGAAAACCTTTGTTCAAGTCGTCCACAGTATATAATTTCTTTGGCTTGTCTTTATTTGGATTTTTCTGATTACTTCTTTTATGCTTTGAGCTTTGGGTTGGGCTCATAAATCTCATTTGAGGGCTCATCCCTCTCGGCGATCTGCTGGGAGTTCTTTTATCATCAATACGAGTAGTCTTATTCTTCTGTTTGCCAGTAGGAGTCCTCGGAACTGCCTTCATACCAACTGACTGCTGGCGCCTTCCAACATTCGGTGGTGGAGCCCTATAAGGCTTTTGGGGATTTGAACGAAGGGAGTGCTCTTTAGGAGTTTGAGAGTCAGTCTTTGTGTTCTTTGGAGTAGCATGGGGAGACTTTTTGTTGTGAGGAGAGGGGCGAGAAGGATTACGGTTCCGATGAAGAGGACGTAAGGGCTTTTTAGATCCAGATTTCCTCATTTCTCTGTTGCTAAGCACAGGGGCTTTAAATTTTTCTGTTATGTCAGGAGTAGTACTTTTTGGAGTTAGTCTTTTACGATCAAGTTTTGCTTCTTCAGTTTTTATAGATTGGGTGGTAGGTTCTGGAATTGCATTTCTTTCCTCTTCAACTTGCTCATTGTCTAGGAAAAGAGGGGAATTGGAATTTCCAAAGCTGGGAGTTTTCCCTTTATGTTTCTTTGGTTCCTCTTTTCTAGAAATATTGTTGGATCTTGAGACTGAGTTCGGCTTTACCCCAGGTATTTTTGAAGTTGACTTCCTCTTGTTTGATGTTTGAGTTGGATGTTTTGGAATTTTATTTCTATTCTCTCTTGGGTTCTTGGTTTTCATCTTCTCTTTATCATCCTTTGAAATATTCATTGGCTTTTCTTTACTTTCTTCTTCTGCATCTACAGATCGCTTTTCTGGAGTGAATGCTTTCGCTTGTTTTGTAATGCTCATTTCTTTTGATTCTGAGTTTTCTTTTATTGCAGCAGATTCTTTTACTGATCTTGACGGCAAACTTTTGTAATCTTGATTCTTCACAGGGGAGTTTGCACTTCTTGAAATAGTATGGTTATCTTTTATAGAATCAAATTGGTTAAATTGCATTTCTTTCTGATATTTATTTAGCATTAATAATCTCATAAGTTCCTTCATTTTCTGTGGTTATGTTATTTGATTTAAAGTCTGAGGTATCATAGTTCTCTCTAATATCATCAATTTTGGTAGGCGAAGAGTGCCTCAGAGCTGCTGAAATATCAGTATTTGCGATCCCTTCAAGATCTTGATTACTATCAGGGCCAAGAACTTCTTTCTCGAATCGTTGATTTTGTGATCTCTGTATAAGCATCTTATTATTAATATCTTCCAGAACACTCGTAGTGAATTCAAATATGGAATCAATCTCTAGTGTCTCAAAATCACACTCATCGCCAAGAAGCTCCTGTAACTTAATGAAGTTATCATTTAACTTAAGCATCTGGAGTTGGTTCTCTTGAAAGGCTGACTCAATCTCCATAAATTTTAAATGGAGGCACTCTGCTAATCCTTCAGTTAGAAAACGTTGAACATCAATCATCTTTATTAAGAATTATATAATTTGGGGTTTTGGGGTTTTGGGGTTTTGGGGTTTTGGGGTTTTGGGGTTTTGGGG